ATAAAAGGAGGATATAAAGTTCACGAGAAAAGTAGCCATCTGCAACAACCAGTGGGGGGGGGGGGAGGGGGCGTGAAATATATAAAAAAGACAAGTCAAAATCGTACAAGCTTTTAGCGGCAGGCACTGCGGATAATGGGTAGTAGGGTGTCCCAAATTTCACGAAGGTTTCCAATTCACTTAGGATACACCGGGATCCCGTTCCTTGGTTCATTTGAACCTCACACACCAATTTATAGAGTAAACTACCGGTAAACAAGGTTGCCGCTAGTGCTGTGAAGTTTTATTTGCATTTTGGTGTTATATGATAATGCAGCGTTGTAGTCTCCGAAAGCATAATGGGACATCTGTGTAAGCAACATAGCAATGTTACCTTCTCCGATGCTCAGTGATGCTCAGATCTCACGCACATTGCACACTGATGAAGATCCGGGTATATGCACGCATACATAGGTGTGTAACTGTGTGTGTGCGTGCCCGTATGCGTCCATATGTGTGTATGTGTGTGTGTGCGCGCGCGACTGCGTGCATGCCTTCCGGAGAGAAGGCAATGCCCGTTTTAATCTTGGTGTGAGTGATTTCATGTGCCGATGATTTTGTTCAGGAGTAAGTGATCAAATACAGGTCTCAGGTTGGTAGGTACTTCAAATGTCTCGCTTCAGATCGAACCGTCTGCGGCAATGGCACACCACATAGACGCAGATTGAACGGAATCAAATTTATATTGAAGCGGTGGGTATTAAGTTCACCGTACCCTGCTCTGAGACCGTCTACGCGTAACATCATTGTATCCTGCTCCGAGATCCGTATAAACAAACATCATACCTTGCTCTGAAAACTGTCTAAAACATCGTACTCTTCTCTGAGATCCGTCTAAAACATCGTACCCTGTTCTGAGATCCGTCTTAAACGTCGTACACTGCTCTGCAATCCATGTAAAACATCCTACGCTGTTCTTAGGTCCATCTACACTCTAGTCTACAGTCTACACGTAACCTCATCGCACCTTGCTATAATATCTGTCTACCACTGACCCATGTAGTCCTTCTTCGTGTGACCGTAAAGCGACCTGTGCCATGCCACCACCTGGGCCATGCAGCTGGTCCTCATCTGCCGTTCTGTCCATCGACTCCTGTGCGAGCTTCACTCCGCGATCCGCTCCATCATTCACAACTGCCAGACTGTTGATGTATTTGTGAACTGCGTTGTAACCTGAGATACTTTTGCATTTTTGATAGGCTCTTGCAACCATTCGAGGGCGCACTCATCCAGAATCTTGATGAGTGCCCCCTTGAATGGTTGCACCCGGCTATGAGAATCATAGTCACTCATCCAGAATCTGGACGAGTGCGCCCTCGAATGGTTGCAAGAGCCTGTCAAAAAATGGGAAAATATCTCAGGTTACAAAGCAGTTCACAAATACGTCAATTATTTTCCATTATTCACAACAGTCTTGCAGTTGTAAATGATGGAGCGGATGGCGGAGTGAAGCTGGCACAGGAGTTGATGGACAGAACGGAAGATGAGGACCAGCCGCAGGCGCTGGCCCAGGTGGTGGCGTGGCACAGGTCGTTTTGCGGTCACACGAAGAAGGACTACATGGGTCAGTGGTAGACAGATATTATAACAGGGTGCGATGACGTTACGTGTAGACTGTATAGTGCAGATGGATCGTAGAGCAGCGTAGGATGTTTTAGATGGATCTCAGAGCAATGTGCGATGTTTAAGACGGATCTCAGAACAGGGTACGATGTTTTAGACGGATCTCAGAGCAGTGTACGATGTTAAAGACGGATCTCAGAACAGGGTACGATGTTTTAGACGGATCTCAGAGCAGGGTACGATGTTTTAGACAGTTTTCAGAGCAGGGTATGATGTTTGTTTATACAAATCTCGGAGCAGGATACAGTGATGTTACGCGTAGACGGTCTCAGAGCAGGGTACGGCGAAGTTAATACCCATAGCTTCAATATCAATTTGATTCCGTTCAATCTGCGTCTATGTGGTGTGCCATTGCCGCAGACGGTTCGATCTGAAGCGAGACATTTGAAGTACCAACCTGAGACCTGTATTTGATCACTTACTCCTGAACAAAATCATCGGCACATGAAATCACTCACACCAAGATTAAAACGGGCATTGCCTTCTCTCCGGTAGGCACGCACGCAGTCGCGCGCGCGCACACACACACACACACGCATACACACATACGGACGCATACGGGCACGCACACACACAGTTACACACCTATGTATGCGTGCATATACCCGGATCTTCATCAGTGTGCAATGTGCGTGAGATCTGAGCATCACTGAGCATCGGAGAAGGTAACATTGCTATGTTGCTTACACAGATGTCCCATTTTGCTTTCGGAGACTACAACGCTGCATTAGCATATAACACCAAAATGCAAATAAAACTTCAGAGCACTAGCGGCAACCTTGTTTACCGGTAGTTTACTCTATAAATTGGTGTGTGAGGTTCAAATGAACCAAGGAACGGGATCCCGGTGTATCCTAAGTGAATTGGAAAACTTCGTGAAATTTGGGACACCCTAATGGGTAGCCAGCGATCCTGTAGCATAGCACCTGAATTTCTTGCTATCACTTTTACTCTTTACCTATTGAATGATTTTCTTGGTCATTTATAGTGTATTTATGGTGTATTTTATATACCTGGTACCTTTGTTAGCCTATTACCTATTGATGTTGCATACATGCTTATATCACTTGCTATATATCCTAGGTAGGTCTTTATTACTATTTATCACTTTATATAACCTTTGTTATTTAACAGATTTAGATATAATTAGAATGTATATCGCTTATGAGATATTTTCTTCTTTTTATATATGTTAAATGTTTTATCATAGAATGTCACGTACTATTTATCTATTTTACTATCTGTGACATGTCCTGTCTGCCAAAGACGAATCGCCCTCAATTTTGCGACCGATACCCCCGAACCCGATTACGATACGCTGACGAAGCTTTGTAATACAATTCGAAAGCTCCGACCCGAACGATTTCTTGTGGAGTAAAGTCCTCATTCAATTATTACATTAGCAAACTCCACATCATGTCCTTTAGTGAATATTGAATGTTTTTACTTGGAAAGTTTTACCCACGGATTTCTGGCAAGAGTATCGCACGCATCCCCCCAATATGGGTATCATATGAAAGTTCATGAAAACCCAAACAAAATGGTGGGGTAAAATTTACCATTACCCCATCCAGGGTAAAGTTTACCCAAGATGAAAATTTTCGGTCAATGGGGCGCCCCTACGATTTTCTTCAAAATCAGCATGGTGATACGACAGGCCCAGATGATCAATCTGGCTGAAGAAACCCCCATGGGCATTGAAATCTATGGGGTAAAAACGCCCTTGGAAAGTTTTACCCACGGATTTCGGGCAAGAGTATCGCACGCATCCCCCCAATATGGGTATCATATGAAAGCCCATGAAAACCCAAACAAAATGGTGAGGTAAAATTTACCCATTACCCCATCCAGGGTAAAGTTTACCCAAGATGAAAATTTTCGTCAATGGGGCGGCCCCTACGATTTTCTTCAAAATCGGCATGGTGATACTATGGGCCCAGATGATCAATCTGGCTGAAGAAACCCCTATGGGCATTGAAATCTATGGGGCAAAAACGCCCTTGGAAAGTTTTACCCACGGATTTCTGGCAAGAGTATCGCATGCATCCCCCCAATATGGGTATCATATGAAAGCCCTTGAAAACCCAAACAAAATGGTGGGGTAAAGTTTACCCATTACCCCATCCAGGGTAAAGTTTACCCAAGATGAAAATTTTCGGTCAATGGGGCGGCCCCTACGATTTTCTTCAAAATCGGCATGGTGATACTACAGGCGCAGATGATCAATCTGGCTGAAGAAAACCCCTATGGGCATTGAAATCTATGGGGTAAAAACGCCCTTGGAAAGTTTTACCCACGGATTTCTGGCAAGAGTATCGCACGCATCCCCCCAATATGAGTATCACATGAAAGCCCATGAAAACCCAAACAAAATGGTGGGGTAAAATTTACCCATTACCCCATCCAGGGTACAGTTTACCCAAGATAAAAATTCTCGGTCAATGGGGCGGCCCCTACGATTTTCTTCAAAATCGGCATGGTGATACTACAGGCCCAGATGACCAATCTGGCTGAAGAAACCCCTATGGGCATTGAAATCTATGGGGTTAAAACGCTCTTGGAAAGTTTTACCCACGGATTTCTGGCAAGTGTATCGCACGCATCCCCCCAATATGGGTATCATATGAAAGCCCATGAAAACCCAAACAAAATGGTGGGGTAAAATTTACCCATTACCCCATCCAGGGTAAAATTTACCCAAGATGAAAATTTTCGGTCAATGGGGCGCCCCTACGATTTTCTTCAAAATCGGCATGGTGATACTACAGGCCCAGATGATCAATCTGGCTGAAGAAACCCCTATGGGCATTGAAATCTATGGGGTAAAAACGCCCTTGGAAAGTTTTACCCACGGATTTCTGGAAAGAGTATCGCACGCATCCCCCCAATATGGGTATCATATGAAAGTTCATGAAAACCCAAACAAAATGGTGGGGTAAAATTTACCCATTACCCCATCCAGGGTAAAGTTTACCCAAGATGAAAATTTTCGGTCAAACGGGCGGCCCCTACGATTTTCTTCAAAATCGGCATGGTGATACTACAGGCCCAGATGATCAATCTGGCTGAAGAAAGCCCTATGGGCATTGAAATCTATGGGGTAAAAATGCCCTTGGAAAGTTTTACCCACGGATTTCGGGCAAGAGTATTGCACGCATCCCCCCAATATGGGTATCATATGAAAGCCCATGAAAACCCAAACAAAGCAGTCCCAGTTACAGATGGAGGAGTCTCAGTCCTGGATACAGATGGAGAGGGGGTTTCGGTCACGGTCTTCGATGGCGAGGGATTCTCGGTCCCGGTCACCGGCGAAGAAGCGATCTCGGTCCCAGTTACCGATGAAGGACCAGTCTCGGTCACGGCCACCGATGGAGGAGCGGTCTCGGACTCAGTCACCGATGAAGCAGCGGTCTCGGTCCCAGTCACCGATGAAGGAGCGGTCTCGGTCTCGGTCACCGATGAAGCAGCAGTCTCGGTCCCAGTCACCGATGAAGGAGCAGTCTCTGACACAGCCACCGATGGAGGAGCGATTTCGGTCTCGGTCACCGATGAAGAAGCGGTCTCGGCCCCAGTTACCGATGAAGGAGAAGTCTCGGTCCCAGTCAACGATGAAGGAGCAGTCTCGGTCACGGCCACCGATGGAGGAGCGGTCTCGGTCTCGGTCACCAATGGAGAGGGAGTCTCGGTCACGGTCACCGATGGAGGAGCGGTCTCAGTCTCAGTCACCGATGAAGCAGCGGTCTCGGTCCCAGTCACCGATGAAGGAGCAGTCTCGGTCACGGTCACCGGTGGAGGAGCGGTCTCGGTCTCAGTCACCGATGGAGGAGCGGTCTCGGACTCAGTCACCGATGAAGCAGCGGTCTCGGTCTCGGTCACCAATGAAGCAGCGGTCTCGGTCCCAGTCACCGATGAAGGAGCAGTCTCGGTCACGGCCACCGATGGAGGAGCAGTCTCGGTCCCGGTCACCGATGGAGGAGCAGTCCCAGTTACAGATGGAGGAGCCTCAGTCCTGGACACAGATGGAGAGGGGGTTTCGGTCACGGTCTTCGATGAAGAGGGAGTCTCGGTCCTGGTTACCGGCGAAGAAGCGATCTCGGTCCCGGTCACCGACGAAGGAACAGTTTCAGTCCCGGCCACCGATGGAGAAGCAGTCTTGGTCCTGGTCACCGATGGAGAGCAGTTTCGGTTCCGGTCACCGATGAAGAAGCGATCTCGTTACCGGTCACCAATGAAGGAGCAGTCTCGGTCCCGGTCACCGATGGAGGAGGAGTCTCAGTCCTGGTCATCGACGAAGGAGCAGTCTCGGTCACGGTCACCGATGAAGAGGCGATCTCCATCTCGGTCCCGGTCACCTATGGAGGAGCACTGTCGGTCCCGGTCACAGATGGAGGAGACTCGGTTGCGACCAGCAACGGAGGAGGCGACTTCCCCGTCTGAGCCACGGAAGGGGGACATGATATCCAAGCTTCGGCCACCGGTGAAAGAGGCGAGCTGTTACATGCTCCGTCTAAGTGTTAAACAGTGGACATGCATGACAAAGGGCAAAAAAAAATGCATCAAATCTTGTCTCCGGCTGGACTAACGTCTTGTATGATGCTTACGCTAAGTCTTCAGCGCACCCGTGTGTCCTCTGCTTCAAACGCGGATACCTGAAGAGAGCTTCTTCGAGAAAGATAAAAGGGCTGGGCTTCTTGGCCACAGCGCGCTGCAAGTTTCCATCATGTCCAAAGAGGATCATTTTCTCTAGAAGCGGCTCCGCGCCAGCGTTGGGTGAAGTCCTTCTCAAAGTCGAGGAAAAAGGAATCGCACGGCACGAGGGTGGTAGCATGGGTCGTCACCTGACTGGTGAGCGCCGGCTTTAAACTGCCCGAGATGTTGCGGGCGATGGTGCATACAACCACCGTATGAAGCTTTTGGCGGACGCAACAGAGACTGCCCTAAGCCATGGTAACACCTCCTCAGTGCCGGCCTCTGAGGTGTTGAGGAAGGCGGCCGCGGAGGTCCGGGCCCGTGAACGATATTCTTCCAAGCCAATTGAAGATCTGAAAATTGTGAAAGTCAGTTTCAGCTAGCATGGACTCACACAGTGAGCAGCTCAAAGGCTACGTTCATGCTCTGAGTGACTCTCCGCTGATGGTCCACGTTTACGGCGAGGACACATTATTGCGGTATGACAAGGACCCGAGCACCATCCACATCGATGCCACTGGTGCTGTTAGTCAGCAGGTAGGGGATACACGACCATATCTATATTCAGTCATCGCCACACCTTCTGAGGGTAACTCGTATCCGATCGCTCACATGCTCTCCGAGGCTCACACGACGCCGTGCCTGACCTTCTTTTTGCAGCAAGTTTGTCATGACTTCCGACGTTGCACAGGAGGGTCTCGTCACTTTCGGCCACCCCGGGTCGTGACAGACCTGTCGTGGGCTATCCTGCATGCCGTTACCACCAGCATCGCGGGAATCAACCTCCCAGCCTTCCTTGACAGTGCTTGGGATGCCGCGCTTCCGGGCACTGTGCCAAGCATCGCGGTATCTCTGTGCACCTGCCATATCACGCACAGCATCTCTCGAGCCGCTGTCAGCCACCTCGGCAAGAAGAAGGTCTCCGAACGGCGAGGAGTGATGTGGCTTTTTGGACAGATGGAGCGTTCGTCGAGCGTGTCAGAGGTGGATGCGGCGTATCTCAACATGTGCCGCCTGCTACTTTCGAAGACAAAACCTCAGATCGACTTGGGGGACTCAGAAGAAATGCAGGAAGACTACGAAGACCCAGCCGAACCCGATGACGATACTTGGCGATCTTACCGTGAAAGTACGAAGCCAGGACGGCACTTCAAAGCCCTGCAACTGGCCGTGGAGGCCGAACTGGAAAACGACTGCGATAACAACAACATCAGCAACCCGTGCTACTGTCCTGCGCTGGCCAAGCACATCGGCAGTGTCGTCATGCCTCTGGCACCTCTGTGGGTTTCACTGACACATGGACAAGCCAGTAACGCAGCTGTGGAGAGCTGGTTTAGGACATTGAAAAACAGCCTACTGAAAAGACGCAAGGTTGTGCCCGGTGTGCTCGTGGAGACACTAATCAGACATCTGACAGCGCACCGGAAACAAGCCATGATTCCGCCAGCAGCCCCTCGTCAGAAGAAAAGGAAGGCGCCGGACTTCAAAGACGCAGAGGAGAGCTGGAGGAAGAGGAGAACAAGGCGAGGCTTCGCATACAGGAAAGCACTACCCAGTGTTTCTGAACATCTGTGCTCTGGTGCCCCCGCCCCCGCGGGTCGGACCCGGACGAAGACCACGAAGACCGGACAGACCGGAGTCCCGGGTGCAGTGCACTCTGGAAAAGTGGGCAGAGGAGCACTACCCAGTGTTTCTGAACATCTGTGCTCTGGTGCCCCCGCCCCCGCGGGTCGGACCCGGACGAAGACCACGAAGACCGGACAGACCGGAGTCCCGGGTGCAGTGCACTCTGCAAAAGTGGGCAGAGGGAAGAGAAAGTCGAGCGGGCACGCCGCGACCTTGACGAGGACTGGGCAAGCCGGCATTCGAGGTGCGGTGCCGCGCTTCATGATCAGGCAGGTTGGCCTAAATCCTCTCGCCAGGCGTGAAGTCAAAATGAAAAAGACAGTCACGACCGGACAGGCCGCTCCGTGCTGGCAGACTGACCAGACCGAATGGGTCGCTCCAGCGGCACAGGCCGGCGTTCTGGACCACTCCTGCACAACCGCTGCCGCTTCAAATGTACGCCGCTCGGAGCTGTTGAGACTGGTCCAGTCAGAGGAGTGGCTGACTGATGAAGTTGTCGACTTGTTTTGCGCGGCAGTGGCAACTCATCCATGTCTTGCGTTGTCCGTATTTTGGCAGGAGTGCGTCACCCGGGCATGTCGGCGCTGCATGACAGCCATGTTCACAAGAAGCGTGCCTGCCTCAACGTGGCTGATGCCACTAAATGTCGGAGAACACTGGGTACTATTCGTAGTCCTCTGGCGCAAGAAGGCCATCGTGTTCTGCAATTCTCTGGGCTGCTGGCCCGCTGATGAAGACGTCCGCGCCGCTCAGCTCCTCATGACTGCAGCAACGCCAGATCTGCGGTGGGAGGGCTGGAAGGTCATGGTTCCTGCAACACCGCAGCAAGCAGACTCTTGGAGCTGCGGTTACCGGGTCTGCTGGCTTGCCGAGGCTGCAGCGACTGGCCGAGCGTTGCCCTTCGACGCCAATCGTGTGAAGAACAGCATCGCAGGAGCCATCCAGGTTTTTTTGTTGATTCTGTTTTCTGCTTTTACTTCAAAACTGAAATTGATCATATGAAGACGCACACATTCATTGTAACACGAATTCGTGGCAGGTGTATGACACTGATGTGTATTTAGAGTGACAAATTAATCGTTTATTTTGTGGAGACCAAATCGAAATACGTTTTTCATAATTTTCTTTTTCACCGCGTAAAGCATTAACCCTCGCCGGCACAGGCCATTTTGCGTCCTTCGACGGCACAAGGGGGGGGGGGTTGGTACGACCCCCCCTCGCGTTTGGCCCCTGATCGAGCTAGAGCTTCGCGGAAAAACGAGCGTGTTGCCCGTCACGAGACGAAGCCGATGATACCCAATTTTAAGGTCCTAGGTCATCGGGTGACCTTCCAGGTCAGGTCAATGACCCGAAAACCGGGAAAATCGGGACCTGTTAGAAAGTCGTAAATTGTGGCTGCTATGTAGTTTTCCGGGGTGCTGATCACGAATATCGTGTTAGTTTTGATCAGAGATGATGTCTTTAAGCATTTAGACCAAGTCGGGTCAGGTCAGGTCAGGTCAACCGGTAGGGGTTGTGACGGGTATTCGTAATACGTGTCAACCGCCTCTGACAGCTTCGTAACATGTTACGAAGGCACCAAAACTACTTCGTAAATGTTCAAATGGTTGCCAAATTCGAATTCAGCTCCAAAAACTAGCCTAGAAACATGTAAAACTCGAAAAAGTGAACCGAGGTCACCCGAGGTCACCAAAGGTCAATGACCTGACCTGACCTTCAGGTGACCTTGACACCCACCCTAATGTATGGGAGCGACATCAAATCATTTGTTTGAAAGTTTGAAACCACAAAAATCTTGCAAACGCGCGGCTAATGTTAGCCGACATACGCCGAATTGCGATTCCGGCCAAACATGGTCTCGGAAAAGAGGTCACAGGTCAAAGGTCATTGGGGTCAGGGTCATGAAATTTTCAGGGTAGGTGTAGAATTGATCAATGCGAAGGTACTGAAAGTTCCGTCGCGATCGGCCGCTTTTTACGCGAGTTATTCGCGAAAAACCTTAGGGGGGGGGTTGCATCAAACCCCCTGTGCCGGCGAGGGTTAAAGGGATTGGCCCTAAGGGGAAAATGTGTTACCTATGCCAAAGTATAGGGGAGAGTGGGGTAAGATGTCCAGGGTGGGAAAGACGCCCCACCCCCTCTAGCGGCGAAACAAAGAATCGAACCTGGAAATTAATGTTCTTAGCGTAAAGGGGAAGCCTGCCTTGTTAACTGCACAAAAATTTGCGAAGCTCAGTTGGGCAACGGCTGGCTGATGATTGCATGTTTTTATTTGCTACTTTCAAAAAATATGTTGGTGTCAAAACATTGTAAATATCTTTCTAGTTGAGGTTTATTTGCCATTGGGTCTACAGTGCAGGGATATTTCTATCTCGCACTCCTCTGAGATGCAAAGATAAGAATTTGTTATAGGTATCTGCATCCCTCTGAGATGCAAAGATAAGGTCTCGAGGGTTCATAGCGAAAAATCAAGAGTTCATGTGATGATGGGTCAATAACCGAACGACATTTTTAATGGTTGTTTATGGATGAAACTTATGAAATAAGAACATACTACTCTGAATCTACTTTTATATAGATGAATGCATTTAAATATAATATTTTATTAATTAAGAATAAACCTCAACATAGAAAGATATAGGATTCCTCATGGCTCACTCGTGGAAGATCGGATATCTTTTCCTCGCGTGTTACAGAAAAACCTCGCTCCTTCGTCGCTCGGTTTTTCAGTAACCCGCTTGGAAAAGATATCCTTATCTTCCACTCGGAGCCATGAAGAATCCTCTATATCAAAGAAGGTAGATAATTTTTGAGTCCCTTGCTATAGTCGTGATACATTAACATGCGTGTACTGTGTCCCGAACAGTTTGTTTCAGGGTGTAGTTTTA